TAACCCTGAAGGAGCTGCAAAGCTCCACAGCGGAGATTGGAGTATCTGTCCATAGGACCACTTTAAGCCGTACACTCCACAGAGCTGGGCTTTACGGAAGAGTGGCCAGAAAAAATCCATTGCTTAAAGAAAAAAAATAAGCAAACACGTTTGGTGTTCGCCAAAAGGCATGTGGGGGACTCCCCAAACATATGGAAGAAGGTACTCTGGTCAGATGAGACTTAAATTTAGATTATTTGCTATCATGGAAAACGCTATGTCTGGCGCAAACCCAACACCTCTCATCACCCCGAGAACACCATCCCCACAGTGAAGCATAGTGGTGGCAGCATCATGCTGTGGGGATGTTTTTCATTGGCAGGGACTGGGAAACTGGTCAGAATTGAAGGAATGATGGATGGCACTAAATACAGGGAAATTCTTGAGGGAAACCTGTTTCAGTCTTCCAGAGATTTGAGACTGGGATGGAGGTTCACCTTCCAGCAGGACAATGACCCTAAGAATACTGCTAAAGCAACACTCGAGTGGTTTAAATGTCTTGGAATGGCCTAGTCAAAGCCCAGACCTCAATCCAATTGAGAATCTGTGGTATGACTTAAAGATTGCTGTACACCAGCGGAACCCATCCAACTTGAAGGAGCTGAAGCAGTTTTGCCTTGAAGAATGGGCAAAAGTCCCAGTGGCTAGATGTGCCAAGCTTATAGAGACATACACCAAGAGAATTGCAGCTGTAATTGCTGCAAAAGGTGGCTTTACAAAGTATTGACTTTGGGGGGGTGAATAGTTATGCACGCTCACGTTTTCTGTTTTTTGTATCTTATTTCTTGTTTGTTTCACAATAAAAAATATTTTACATCTTCAAAGTGGTAGGCATTTTGTGTAAATCAAATGAGACAAACACCCCCCCCCCAAATACATTTTAATTCCAGGTTGTAAGGCAACAAAATAGGAAAAATGCCAAGTGGGGTGAATACTTTAGCAAGCCGCTGTAACTATAAGGTGTGACTGCTCATGAGAAACCACATACACAGCCTACCGCAGAGCCTTACATTACAATGTAATGTCATTCATCAATAGCTCAGATCTCTGTATAAGTCTCTGAGCCACACCCGCCACCACACCACTAAACACTAGTGATGGGGATAAAAATCGATACGGGTACACATCGGGATATTATTTTTGATGATATATTGTATAGTTTTGACAATATCGCAATATTATTTTTGTGCAAGTTGGCTGTACCTGCACCAAAACAGTATTGTTCCTTCATAGCTTGTTCTCCATCTTTCTTTTTAAATAGGGAGCCATTTTGTTTTCAGCACTTTTGTTTGCATGACTGATCAAAACTTGTTTTCTCATGGCTCCCTCTAGTCCCTCTGCAACAGACATATGGTGAGCAATATGTTTGGAACATTGAATCGCAATAAAATCACAGTACATATAGAATCGTGAGTTTTGTAACACATATAGTATCGGCACCAAAGTATCGTGATAATATCGTATCGTGAGGTCTCTGGCAATTCCCAGCCCTACTAAACATAACAAGTCCATTATAAGTTTCTCTGGATAAGAGAGTGCTAAATGACCTAAATGTATGTTCATAACTCCCTCCCCTCAAACAGGACTGTTTTAATGCATTATAATGCATTCATAATGACTGGTTATAATGCATTCATTCCTCCCTCCCCACTCCTTCATAATTCTGTCCTAAACCCAACCAGACTACCAGGGAGTGACATTTCCCAACAAACAGCTCCACAAACAGCTATGAATAATTGAATTGATAATCAAATGCTGAGGGCATGATAATGCAGTCTGTGTTGTGGGAATGAGAGGCTCAGTGTCGACAGATGCTACTTGGCTGAGCAATATGAAAAAGACATCAAGCAATGTATTGTTTGAACAAGGTGTCTTTTGCTTTTGAAAGGGCTTCTCAAAGGGAGTGGGAGAGAGAAGGTTAGTGAGTGGTTGTTGTTCGACTATAGATGTTGTAGACACATCCGAGCACACACGACTCCCCTCAATGGACGGACTAATCATATCAGACAAACTATATAAAAGTGAATATGAATTGAAAATGCATTGTTTGTGTTCAGGACATTTCATGTTTACCTTTGCTACAGCTGGGCTACTTTTCCCCACCAAACAAATGATAAACAACTACATCTACAGCCCACATTATGGACAAATGATTTGTTTGAAGTCAGTGCTATGTGTTGTTCATTAGACTGTTTCTTACTGGACAAGTTCAGATAGCACCTCCTCGTTTCATTCCATTTCGGAGTGTTTTCTTCGGTTTCTCACCTACTGAGCACGACCCTGGTCTGTGTGGAGGGTTAGTGGTGCTTATTGTGACTATGAAAATCTGTTCCACTTACTGGATCTCCCAGGGGGAGGTTGACATTTGCATGTTGCGTTAATCAGAGGGCAGTGGAGAGGGACGCTGGCTTCACTGTTTCCACTCAGGTCCTCCTTAGTTAGGTGCACAGCTCAGTGAGCTCCCACTGTGCCCTATCCATTCACCTGTTCCTGCTACAGTACTCTCGCATGCTTCACCCTCTCTCACGCTCACACACTCTACTGCACCCACTGAGGTTCCCACTTTCATTAGCAACAGCCAGAGCCTCTCTCAGCCTCACCAAAGCCACTGTATTCTGCATCTGTGCAGGGAAACTCTCTTAGGGAAGGGTTTTTGCCCTAGCACTACACAGCTGATTCAAATAACCAACTCATCATCAAGCTTTGATTATTTCAATCAGCTGTGTAGTGCTAGGGTAAAAACCAAAATGTACACCCATGGGGGGCCCCGAGACTGAGTTTGGGAAACCCTGTCTTAGGGGCCTAGAATGGCTTCTCCTCTACATTTTGCATTTGGTCCATGTCCTCCTGACCAATACTCAAACCCTGTATGTGTTTGTTCTCTTAGTCCTGTCTAAACACTCACAGGGTCATGCTCCTACTGGTGTCAATGACCCCTCGCTCACCTGCTCTCAAACTGTGTTCCTCACCAATACTGTTTGTAGACTTTGAACTGCATCACATTGATTTAGGCTGAATTTGCACCATCATGCCCGACCCCTGTTTGTGAATTTGAAGGAAATGATACCATCTGCCTGCTTGCTTCAGAGTACTTTTCGGTCACTTAGACCTTCATCAGGCAATAACATTGTACTTTAAGTGTGTTATTTACACACAGTGTGCTGGAGTCCCTCCCCTCAACCTTTCTACATCAGTTTCCATTATCTAACTAAAAGTTTTCTCTCAGTATCTCAGACCCAGAAAGGTCACTATCAGGTAATGGAGCGGATATTGTGTAGTGGGTACCTTCCTGTCAGTCTGCTGTAGGTTGCCTAACTGTTGACTAACTGAAGTTACTGTAGTCAACACCAGCCACTGTATGTCATTACTTAGGTCTGTTACACTGTACTTATGGACACAATAGTTTTTTGTTTTCTCAGTGGCTCTTTATATTGGAGTGGATAGTGTGTGTGCATTGGTGCTTTCCTTTGTTTAAGTTTGACTAACGCTGAAGTGTATACCAGTCACTGTCCTGTGTGGGTCATTTTACTGTAGGCTACTGTATGGACACAGCAGTTGATGAGGTGTTATGTGTTTGTTTCCCAGGTCTTACATGAAACGTTCCCTCAACACACATTCCTGATGAATGGGCTTATTCACGGTGTCAAGTTAAGATGTTAACAGCCGCCTAACCTGTTGCAGCTAGGACACTGAAGGTAAGATAACGACAGTTAACAGCAGCCTAGCCTGTTGCTCTCTAGCGCAGTACTTCCCAACCCTCTCCTTGGAGACCACCAGATGTTTTAACATTTTTGTTTTAGCCCTAAATTGGTTTACCTGATTCAATTAGTCAAGGAAGGGGTTGATGATTAGTAGACTAATTGAATCAAGTGTGCCAGTTTAGGGCTACAACAAAAATGTGAAAGGTCTGGTGGTCCCAGAGGAGAGGGTTGGGGAAACACTGGTCTAGCCTGTAGCTAGGACACCCTGTAGGTAAGGAAGCGCTAAGCTAGCCGCTGCCTAGCGAGGACACTCGTCACTCAGCAGGTTAGATAAGAGAGAGACCCGTCATGGTAGAACTCTCTCTGCCAAGCACCGTGTGTTTGTTTTACCACTGACAGCTGCAGTAGTGCATGGCATCTTATCTCATGTAGCCTAAACTCAAAATGTTACATTTTAGTCTCAGGTTGCCTGTTTAGTGGGGTGTGTAGATGATGGCAGTATGGATAGTATACACTGAGTATACAAAACATTAAGAACACCTGCTCTTTCCATAGACTGACTAGGTGAATCCAGGTGAAAGCTATGATCCCTTATTGATGTCACAATCAGAGTAGATGAAAGGGAGGAGGCAGGTTAAAAAGGATTGTGTATGTGTGCCATTCAGAGGGTGAATGGGCAAACCAAAAGATTTTAGTGCCTTTGAACGGGGTATGGTAGTAGGTGCCAGGCGCGCCGGTTTGTGTCAAGAACTGCAACGCTGCTGGGTTTCCTGTGTGTATCAAGAATGGTCCACCACCCAAAGGACATCAGCATGATCCAGAATGATTGTACATAACTGTAGTTAGTTAGTTACTCAGTAGCTCAGTGCACAGCTCAATGAGGTCTCATTTCTCTCACTCCTTTTTCTCTCTCCCTCTCACGCTCTTCTCTTTCTCTCCTCTCCTTTTTCCTCTCTCTCCCTCTTTATTTCTCTCTCCCTCTCTCTTCCCCTCCCCTCTCTCTCCTCCTCTCTCCCCCTTTCCTTTTTCCTCTCTCTCTCCCTCTCTCTTTATTTCTCTCTACCTCTTTCTCGCTCCCTCTTCCTCCCTCTCTCTCCCCTCTCTTTCTCTCCTCTTTCCCTCTTTCGCTCTTCCTCTCTTTTTCTTGCTCCCTCTTCCTCTCCCTCTCTCTATCCCTCCCTCTCTTTCCCCCTCCTCTCTCTCGCTCTCTCTTCCTGCCCTCTCTCCATCTCCCCCTCTCTCTCTTCCTCCCTCCCCTAGGGTCTGCTGTCGTTCCTGAGTGCTCCTCTGATTGGAGCGTTGTCAGACGTATGGGGGAGGAAGTCATTTCTACTCTCTAGTAACACCTCTAAGATAACACACACTTCACTCTACTTACTACATCTTGATGGGCTGTGATTGTACAGAGCCGGATTAAGCCTACTCATGGAATAAAAAGCATTGTCAGCTTCAAGTGTTTAGAGACATCAACGTGTTTTAAGTTCAGGAGTAGGCTATGCAGCGGGCCCTATATCTCTGCCGTTTTGCTGTGGTTCAACCAATGTTAAAGTGGACCATCACTGTAGTGGTTTCCACAGTCACGATAGAGCTTTACAGACTTGCTAACATTCCTCCTCTCTCCTCCCTCCATTATCTTCCTTCCTGTCTTACATCCTATCTCCTCCTCTCTCCTCTTCTCCTCTCTCCTCCTCTCTCCAGGTGGTACTTTGCAGTCATTTCCATGTCCGGTGTGTTTGCCGTCACCTTCTCTGTGATCTTTGCATACGTGGCAGACATCACAGCAGAACACGAGAGGAGCACAGCCTAAGGTTTGGTGAGGAGTGATACTGAATGACTAGATTTTTATGATAACCCCGATGGACAATCTATCAAAGTGTTATTTTTGCTGTCATATATTCTGGTATTGTTAGAATGACACCAGGTCTCCCTCTTCTCATTTCCATCTCTTCCTCACCCCCACCATTCCCCTCCTCTTCACCCACTTTCTTTCCCTTTTCTCCCCTTCCAGGTGTCAGTCACGTTTGCAGCCAGCCTGGTGACCAGCCCAGCCATCAGAGCGTACCTGTCTGTGACGTATGGTGACACCTTGGTAGTGATCCTGGCTACGGCCATCGCCCTGCTGGGCATCTGTTTCATCCTTGTGGCTGTCCCTGAGTCACTGCCTGAGAAGATGAGACCGGCCTCCTGGGGGGCACCCATATCCTGGGAGCAGGCTGACCCCTTCGCTGTGAGTACTATACTGTACTAAACACAAATATACACTGAACAAAAATATAAATGCAACATGTAAAGTGTGGGTCCCAAGTTTCATGAGCTGAAATAAAATATCCCAGAAATGAGCCAAGTAAAGCCCCCCCGGCCAAACCCTCCCCTAACCCGGACGACGCTGGGCCAATTGTGCGTCGCGCTATGGAACTCCCGATCACGGCCGGTTGTGAAACAGCCTGGGATTGAACCTAGGTCTGTAGTGACGCCTCTAGCACTGCGATGCAGGGCCTTAGACCGCTGCGCCACTCAGGAGGCCAGATGTCTCAAGTTTTGAGGGAGCATGCAGTTGGCATGCTGACTGCAGGAATGTCCACCAGAGCTGTAGCCAGAGAATTGAATGTTCACTTCTCTTTGATAAGCCGCTTCCAACGTCGTTTTAGAGAATTTGGTAGTATGTCCAACCGGCCTCATATCCGCTGACCACCTGTATGGTGTCGTGTTGGCGAGTGGTTTGCTAATGTAAACGTTTTGAACAGAGTACCCCATGGTGGCGGTGGGGTTATGGTATGGGCAGGCATAAGCTACGGACAGCGAACACAATTGCATTTTATCGATGGCAATTTGAATGCACAGATGAGATCCTGAGGCCCATTGTCGTGCCATTCATCCACTGCCATCACCTCATGTTTCAGCATGATAATGCATGGCCCCATGTCGCAAGGATCTGTACACAATTCCTGGAAGCTGAAAATGTCCCAGTTCTTCCATGGTGTTACGGATACAGGTATCCTGTGTCTTTTTGTGTTTTTCCTCTCCTTCTGCCCTAATCACAGGTGTCCTTTATGTTCCTGATTGCTGGTCGTTGGGGTGTCTGCTGATTGCTGAGGTGGACCAATAAGTGGACATTCCTCTGCATTGCACCACCTGTTTCTGGTTTTTCAATCACACATCCCATTGTTTAAAATCAGGTCAGTTGTGTTTGTTGTGAGAGACTATTTCCGTATGTGAGTATGGATACTGTGGTGTCCTGTGTTTTGTTTACTCACTAAGTTGCTGGTTACTCTGTTTGGTAATTTGGTTAGAGACTAATTTCTGTATGTGAGTATGGATACTGTGGTGTCCTGTGTATTGTGTACTCACTAAGTTGCTGGTTACTCTGTTTGGTAACTTTGTTAGAGACTATATTCCGTATGTGAGTATGGATACTGTGGTGTCTTGTGTTTTGTGTCCTCACTCATTTGCTGGTTACTCTGTTTGGTAACTTTGTGTTTCTGGGAAAAGGGGAATTTAAGCAAGTTGCCCTTGGGCGTACATTACCCATGGGAAGAAAACTGTCTAAAAACACTAGTTAGACCTGAGCGGACCACCCACTGTATATTTGTATGATTAGCAGTAGCTTAGCGGTTCTTGAGGCAGGCAAGATCAGTTTAGGGTTTTTTTACACTATTGTTTCATTTCTTGGGTCCTGCTCAGCCCTTTTTCCCAAACCTTTACCGTGTGTTCAAAAATAAACCTTTTATGTTTGACGGTAGTTTATGGTTGTCGTAGTTTTTGTTCTCACTGTTCCATGTCACGCTTATAATTTGCATGAATTATGTTACGGGTCTCATGTCCATCCACCCTAGACGTTTAAAGCCACGGGGTTCGTAACACATGGCCTGCAGAGTCACCAGACATGTCACCCATTGAGCATGTTTAGGATGCTCTGGATCGGCGTGTATGACAGCATGTTCCATTTCCCGCCAATATCCAGCAACTTTCCAACAAGTCAGTTTGTGAAATTTCTGCCCTGCTAGAGCTGCCCCAGGCCAAATGTAAGTGCTGTTATTGTGAAGTGAAAACATCTAGGAACAACAACGTCTCAGCCGCGAAGTAGTAGGCCACACAAGCTCACAGAATGGGACCGCCAAGCGCGTAGCACTTAAAAATCTGTCGGTCCTCGGTTGAAACACTCACCACAGAGTTCCAAACTGCCTCTGGAAGCAACGTCAGCACAATAACTGTTTGTTGGGAGCTTCGTGAAATGGGTTTCCTTGGCCCGAGCAGCCACACACAAGCCTAAGATCACCATGTGCAATGCCAAGCATTGGCTGAAGTGGTATGAAGCTCGGCGCCATTGGACTCTGGAGCAGTGCAAACGCGTTCTCTGGAGTGATGAATCACGCTTCACCATCTGGCAGTCCGACCAACGAATCTGGGTTTGGCGGATGCCAGGAGAACACTACCTGCCCGAATGCTTAGTGCCAACTGTCAAGTTTGGTGGAGGAGGAATAATGGTCTGGTGCTGTTTTTCATGGTTTGGGCTACAGTGAGGGAAAAAAGTATTTGATCCCCTGCTGATTTTGTACGTTTGCCCACTGACAAAGACATGATCAGTCTATAATTTTAATGGTAGATTTATTTGAACAGTGAGAGACAGAATAACAACAAAAATATCCAGAAAAACGCATGTCAAAAATGTTATAAATTGATTTGCATTTTAATGAGGGAAATAAGTATTTGACCCCTCTGCAAAACATGACTTAGTACTTGGTGGCAAAACCCTTGTTGGCAATCACAGAGGTCAGACGTTTCTTGTAGATGGCCACCAGGTTTGCACACATCTCAGGAGGGATTTTGTTCCACTCCTCTTTGCAGATCTTCTCCAAGTCATTAAGGTTTCGAGGCTGACGTTTGGCAACTCGAACCTTCAGCTCCCTCCACAGATTTTCTATGGGATTAAGGTCTGGAGACTGGCTAGGCCACTCCAGGACCTTAATGTGCTTCTTCTTGAGCCACTCCTTTGTTGCCTTGGCTGTGTGTTTTGGGTCATTGTCATGCTGGAATACCCATCCACGACCCATTTTCAATGCCCTGGCTGAGGGAAGGAGGGTCTCACCCAAGATTTTACGGTACATGGCCCCGTCCATCGTCCCTTTGATGCGGTGAAGTTGTCCTGTCCCCTTAGTAGAAAAACACCCCCAAAGCATAATGTTTCCACCTCCATGTTTGACGGTGGGGATGGTGTTCTTGGGGTCATAGGCAGCATTCCTCCTCCTCCAAACACGGCGAGTTGAGTTGATGCCAAAGAGCTCGATTTTGGTCTCATCTGACCACAACACTGTTCATTGGCAAACTTCAGATGGCCCTGTATATGTGCATTCTTGAGCAGGGGGACCTTGCGGGCGCTGCAGTTTTTCAGTCCTTCACGGCGTAGTGTGTTACCAATTGTTTTCTTGGTGACTATGGTCCCAGCTGCCTTGAGATCATTGACAAGATCCTCCCGTGTAGTTCTGGGCTGATTCCTCACCGTTCTCATGATCATTGCAACTCCACGAGGTGAGATCTTGCATGGAGCCCCAGGCCGAGGGAGATTGACTGTTATTTTGTGTTTCTTCCATTTGCGAATAATCGCACCAACTGTTGTCACCTTCTCACCAAGCTGCTTGGCGATGGTCTTGTAGCCCATTCCAGCCTTGTGTAGGTCTACAATCCTGTCCCTGACATCCTTGGAGAGCTCTTTGGTCTTGGCCATGGTGGAGAGTTTGGAATCTGATTGATTGCTTCTGTGGACAGGTGTCTTTTATACAGGTAACAAGCTGAGATTAGGAGCACTCCCTTTAAGAGTGTGCTCCTAATCTCAGCTCGTTACCTGTATAAAAGACACCTGGGAGCCAGAAATCTTTCTGATTGAGAGGGGGTCAAATACTTATTTCCCTCATTAAAATGCAAATCAATTTATAACATTTTTGACATGCGTTTTTCTGGATCTTTTTGTTTTTATTCTGTCTCTCACTGTTCAAATAAACCTACCATTAAAATTATAGACTGATCATTTCTTTGTCAGTGGGCAAACGTACAAAATCAGCAGGGGATCAAATACTTTTTTCCCTCACTGTTTGCCCCTTAGTTCCAGTGAAGGGAAATCTTAAGGCTACAGCATACAATGACATTCTAGATTCTGTGCTTCCAACTTTGTGGCAACAGTTTGGTGAAGGCCCTTTCCTGTTTCAGCTTGACAAAGCGAGGTCCATACAGAAATGGTTTGTCGAGACCGGTGTGGAAGAACTTGACTGGCCTGCACTTAGCCCTGACCTCAACCCCATCGAACACCTTTGAGATTAATTGGAATGCCAACTGCGAGCCAGGCCTAATCGCCCAATGTCAGTGCCCGACCTCCCTAATGCTCTTGTGGCTGATTGTAAGCAAGTCCCTGCAGCAATGTTCCAACATCTAGTGGAAAGCCTTCCTAGAAGAGTAGAGGCTGTTATAGCAGCAAAGGGGGAACCAACTCCATTTTAATGCCCATGATTTTGGAATGAGATGTTCGACAAGCAGGTGTCCACATACTTTTGGTCATGTAGTGTATTGGTGACCGACAGATGCATATCTGTATTCCCAGTCATGTGAAATCCATAGATTAGGGCCTAATGAATTCATTTCAATTGACTGATTTCATTATATGAACTGTAACACAGTAAAATCTTTGAAATTGTTACATGTTGCATTTATATTTTTGTTCAGTATATTATAGTACTGTCCTATACTACCTCCTGGGGAGCACCCATATCCTGGGAGCAGGCTGACCCCTTCACTGTGAGTACTATACTAGGGCTATACAAGCTATACTGTAGTACTATAACTGACTTTACTATATTATACTACTGTACTTGACCTCCTGGGGAGCTCTTATCTCCTTTTGAGCAGGTAGACCCGTTCGCATTCAGTACTGTAGTACTGACCTGTAGTATACTATAATGTACTATTAGATACTATTATGCCTGAGGGGAGCCCCCATCTCTTGGGAACAGGACAACCAATCTGTGTTTGTGTGGCAATAAAATGAATGTGAATCTAATGTGTTGTGTTTCTCGTCTCTCTCATCTCCCCTCCAGTGTTTGCGTAAGGTGTGCCAGGACAGTGCTTCTCATCTGCATCACAGTGTTCCTGTCTTACCTGCCAGAGGCAGGACAGTACTCCAGCTTCTTCCTCTATCTCAGACAGGAACTGATGATCCCAAATACACCCTACCCCCTAACCTCATCCCCTAACCCTTTACCTCCCTGAGGCCGAACAGTACTCTAGCTTCTTCCTCTAACCCCCTAGCCTCAACCCCTAACCCCCCAGTGCTTGACTTGGGCAAGAGCTCATCGGAGCTGAGTACCGGCCCCTCAAATGTTTTACTGCTTGAGCTCCTGTTCCTCTAATAGAATATTAGCTCAAAAGTATCGTAGAGCTCCTGCGCCTAAATATAAACAGTACCGGCACCCAAAATGAGTACCGGCACCTATTTCAGTCCAAGTCAAGCACTGCTAACCCCTACCCCTTAGGCACTTCCTCCTAGAGGTAGACAGGGACTGACCAGAACCAAACCAACCCCTAGTCTCAACCCTACCCCCTATATTTCTGTAACCAGTGGAAAAGTTGTAAACAGCAGTATGTTGCATGCACAGTGTCAGCAGGTGTTTTGAATAGCATATTTTGGTGAGTAGATTCAGTGATGCATTAGCACATTTATAGTTGAGAGAAATCTTGCGCTTTCACCCACAAAAGTTCAGTGTAGAAAAATACTGCAATGTAGTCATATCTGTAAATTAACTGACTGGGGGACTTTGTTGGAAGGCCTCTGAGTAAACCAAACTCCTTTTTCAAACTTAACCTCCTCAGAATGTGGCCTATGTGCTGAGAATGAACATTTTTGGTTATTTTTTAAACAACGAAGTGACCAACGTTGGTTCAATAATTAGAATTCCATTTAATTCTGTTTTTCGTTCTGTTTTTCTCTGTGAGCTCAATGCGCACATGTAGTAGGGAGTTGTAGTTTCCAACAGGCCGATATTCTACATAGTTTAGCACATAAAACGTAGTAATTAACTACAATGACCATAATCCATTGAGCATCTACTTGTCCGGTCTGTATTTCTTTTACGCCTGCTACAGAAGAGAGAAGAATGCGCAATCGTAATAGAGAGCAACTGTTGCTTCGCTAGGTATCTCTACCTGAAAATATATGATCAGAGTGATTGATAGTTGGTATTCAGCAGTCATAAAAGTATGGCTTATTTACTTTGAAGAACTACAAAATAGTGATTTTGTCAGACAGCATAGGCAGCAGCTCTATAGAGATGAGATCACTTTGAATGAAATAATAAAGTCATCAAATAAAACAACTGAAATATTTTATTAAAGTAATGTGAATAATCATCATGGGACTTTTATTAATTATTTTATTCTGTGTTATAGCATTCAACCCACATAATGCATAGTGCTTTTAATGTAAATACATCGAAATCGAAAAACAAGATTTTTTTTATAAGCAAATCGAAACCGAACCGACCTCAAAGCACTAATCGCTCAGCACTACTGTTTACAAGCAGAAGCTCAAACAGGACGTACCAGTGACTCGCTCCATTGAGAAATGGTAATCAGAATCAGAGATTATGCCACAGGACATCTTTGTTAGCGCTGATTGGAATATGTTTCGGGACTCCGCCGATAACATCGACGAGCTAAGAACCTCCGTCACCAGCTTCGTTAGGAAATGCATCAGCAACGTTGTCCCCACAGTGAAGTTTCGCTGCTTCCCCAATCAAAAGCCCTGGATTAACACAGAGGTTGGTGCTAAACTAAAGGACAGGGCTATCGCAGACAACCCTGAGGTTACGACTGAGGACAGGAACAAGTATAAGAAGTCCCGCTACGACCTCCACACAGTCATCAAACGAGCAAAAGGACAATATAGGAATAAGGTGGAATCATATTACACAGGCTCCGACGCCCGCCACATGTAACAGGGGCTTCAGTCCATTATGGATTGCAAAGGAAGACCCAGCTGTGATCTGCCCAACGATGCTAATCCACCAGACGAACTCAATGCATTATATGCACGCTTCGACAATAAAAACGATGTGCGTGAGGGCCACCACCGACCCAGAGGACTGGATGTTCTCGCTCTCCGAGGTCGACGTGAGTGAATTCTTTAATCAGGTCAACACTCTCAAGGCGGGGGGCCGGACGGTAATCTAGGGCGCGTTCTCAGAGCATGAGCAGAACAGCTGGCAGGTCATTTTCAACCTCTCCTTGTCCCAGTCTGTAATCCCCACATGTCTTAAACTGACCAACATCATTCCTGTTCCCAAGAACTCTAAGGCTTCATGGCACAATGACTGCCGCACTGTATCACTCACATCACAAATCATGAAGTGCTTTACCGCCCCAACAGATCCATAGACGCAATCTTAATTGCACTCCACACTGCCTTCACCCACCTAAATAAGAGGAAAACCTATGTGAAAATGGTGTTCATTGACTACAGCTCAGCGTTCAACACCATTGTCCCCTCCAAGCTCGTCAACAAGCTTAGGACCTGGGACTGAACACCTCCCTCTGCAACTTGATCTTGGACTTCCTGACAGGCAGACCCCAGGTGGTGAGGGTAGGCAACATCACCTCCGCCACGCTGACAGGGGTGTGTGCTTAGTCCCCTCCTGTACTCCCTGTTCACCCACGATTGCGTGGCCACGCACGACTTGTCATCAAAATTGCTGACGACAACTTGTTAAGCACATTTTTACTCCTGAACTTATTTAGGCTTGCAATAACAAAGGGGTTGAAAACTTCTTAACTCAAGACATTCCAGCTTTTAATTTTTAATTCATTAGTAAAAATATGTAAAAACATAATTCCACTTTGACATTATGGGGTATTCTGTGTAGGCCAGTGACACAATCTCAATTTAATCCTTTTAAAATTCAGGCTGTAACCCTGTAGGCACTGTATATATCTACCTCTATCACTCTATCAGAATCCCTGCACATTGTAAATATGGTATTGGAACTGACCGTATGGATGGATGGATGGATGGATGGATTCCGTGAGGTCTACCCCGGGGGTTGGTGATAGAGGGGAGGTATGTGCCGCGATGTTGGCTCCATCTGCTGGGAGTACACGGACTGGGCACCCCGACGCTGATGGGCCAAGTAGAGGTAATTAGGGGAGAGTGCCAGCCAGCCGTGCAGGCCACATAAAGGGAGCACCGTGGCACACTGCGAAGAGGACAAAGAGAGAGGCAAGGAGTGAGCGTACGAAGGGGAACGAAGCTCCCGGAGGCACGGAGCCAAGTATAAGAAAATGTACAGAGCCAACCCTGAATTATTTTGTTGTTATCTTTATTTTCGTTGCCTAGTAAAGTTGTGTTTTTCTGACTAGAACCTCCCTGTCTATGTGTCCATCTCTGCACGCTCAACCCAACACCCCACGGTTTACCACAATATATATATATATATATATATATATATATATATATATATATATATATATATATATATATATATACTGCTCAAAAAAATAAAGGGAGCACTAAAATAACACATCCTAGATCTGAATGAATGAAATAATCTTATTAAATACTTTTTTCTTTACATAGTTGAATGTGCTGACAACAAAACCACACACAAATTATCAATGGAAATCAAATTTATCAACCCATGGAGGTCTGGATTTGGAGTCACCCTCAAAATTAAAGTGGAAAACCACACTACAGGCTGATCCAACTTTGATGTAATGTCCTTAAAACAAGTCAAAATGAGGCTCAGTAGTGTGTGTGGCCTCCACGTGCCTGTATGACCACCCTACAACGCCTGGGCATGCTTCTGATGAGGTGGCGGATGGTCTCCTGAGGGATCTCCTCCCAGACCTGGACTAAAGCATCCGCCAACTCCTGGACAGTCTGTGGTGCAACGTGGCGTTGGTGGATGGAGCGAGACATGATGTCCCAGATGTGCTCAATTGGATACAGGTCTGGGGAACGGGCGGGCCAGTCCATAGCATCAATGCCTTCCTCTTGCAGGAACGGCTGACACACTCCAGCCACATGAGGTCTAGCATTGTCTTGCATTAGGAGGAACCCAGGGCCAACCGCACCAGCATATGGTCTCACAAGGGGTCTGAGGATCTCATCTCGGTACCTAATGGCAGTCAGGCTACCTCTGGCGAGCACATGGAGGGCTGTGCGGCCCCCCAAAGAAATGCCACCCCACACCATGACTGACCCACCGCCAAACCGGTCATGCTGGAGGATGTTGCAGGCAGCAGAACGTTCACCACGGCGTCTCCAGACTCTGTCACGTCTGTCACATGTGCTCAGTGTGAACCTGCTTTCATCTGTGAAGAGCACAGGGCGCCAGTGGCGAATTTGCCAATCTTGGTGTTCTCTGGCAAATGCCAAACGTCCTGCACGGTGTTGGGCTGTAAGCACAACCCCCCACCTGTGGACGTCGGGCCCTCATACCACCCTCATGGAGTCTGTTTCTGACCGTTTGAGCAGACACATGCACATTTGTGGCCTGCTGGAGGTCATTTTGCAGGGCTCTGGCAGTGCTCCTCCTGCTCCTCCTTGCACAAAGGCGGAGGTAGCAGTCCTGCTGCTGGGTTGTTGCCCTCCTACGGCCTCCTCCACGTCTCCTGATGTACTGGCCTGTCTCCTGGTAGCGCCTCCATGCTCTGGACACTACGCTGACAGACACAGCAAACCTTCTTGCCACAGCTCGCATTGATGTGCCATCCTGGATGAGCTACACTACCTGAGCCACTTGTGTGGGTTGTAGACTCCGTCTCATGCTACCACTAGAGTGAAAGCACCGCCAGCATTCAAAAGTGACCAAAACATCAGCCAGGAAGCATAGGAACTGAGAAGTGGTCTGTGGTCACCACCTGCAAAACCAGTCCTTTATTGGGGGTGTCTTGCTAATTGCCTATAATTTCCACCTGTTGTCTATTCCATTTGCACAACAGCATGTGACATTTATTGTCAATCAGTGTTGCTTCCTAAGTGGACAGTTTGATTTCACAGAAGTGTGATTGACTTGGAGTTACATTGTGTTGTTTAAGTGTTCCCTTTATTTTTTGAGCAGTGTATATAATATATATATATATATACTACTGTTAAAAAGTTTGGGGTCACTTAGAAATGTCCTTGTTTTCCATGAAAACATACATGAAATGACTTTGAATAGGAAATATAGCAAAATGCATAGGAAATGTAGTCATAGACTGGTGTTTTGCAGGTACTATTTAATGAAGCTGCCAGTAGAGTACCTGTGAGGCGTATGTTTCTCAAACTAGACACACTAATGTATTTGTTCTCTTGCTCAGTTGTGCACCGGGGCCTCCCACTCCTCTTTTCTATTCTGGTTAGAGACAGTTTGCGCTGTTCTGTGAAGGGAATAGTACACAACGTTGTACAAGATCTTCAGTTTCTTGGCAATTTTTCACATGGAATAGCCTTCATTTCTCAGAACAAGAATAGACTGACGAGTTTCAGAAGAAAGTTCTATGTTTCTGGCCATTTGGATTCTGTAATCGAACCCACAATTGCTGATGCTCCAGATACTCAACTAGTCTCAAGAAGGCCAGTTTTATTGCTTGTTCAATCAGCACAACAGTTTTCAACTGTGCTAACATAATTGCAAAAGGGTTTTCTAATTATCAGTTAGCCTTTTAAAATGATAAACGTGGATTAGCAAACACAACGTGCCATTGGAACACAGGACTGATGGTTGCTGATAATGAGCCTCTGTACGCCTATGTAGATATTCCATTAAAAAATCAGCAGTTTCCAGCTACAATAACCATTTACAACATTAACAATGTCTACGCTGTATTTCTGATCAATTTGCTGTCATTTTAATGGACATAAATTGCTTTTCTTTCGAAAACAAGGACATTTCAAAGTGACCCCAAACTTTTGATATACACAGTGCATTCGGAAGGTATTCAGGCCCCTTCCCTTTTTCCACATTTTGTTACGTTACAGCCTTATTCTAAAATTGATTAAATGAAAAAATATCCTTGAGCTGTTTCTACAACTTGATTGGAGTCCACCTGGGGTAAATTCAATTCATTGGACATAATTTGGAAAGGCACACCCCTGTCTATATAAGGTCCCACAGTTGACAGTTCATGTCAGAGCAAAAACCAAGCCAGGAGGTCGAAGGAATTGTCCGTAGAGCTCCGAGACAGGATTGTATCGAGGCACAGATCTGGGGAAGGGTACCATAAAATGTCTGCAGCATTGAAGGTCCCCAAGAACACAGTTGCCTCCATCATTCTTAAATGGAAGAAGTTTGTAACCACCAAGACTCATCCTAGAGCTGGCCGCCCGGCCAAACTGAGCAATCGGGGGAGAAAGGCCTTGCTCAGGGAGGTGACCAAGAACACAATGGTCACTCTGACAAAGCTCCAGAGTTCCTCTGTGGAGATGGTTGTCCTTCTGGAAGGTTCTCCCATCTTTGCAGCACTCCAACAATCAGTCCTTTATGGTAGAGTGGCCAGACGAAAGCCACTCCTCAGTTTGGAGTTTGCCAAAAGGCACCTAAAGGACTCAGACCATGAGAAACAAGATTCTCTAGTCTGATAAAACCAAGATTGAACTCTTTGGCCTGAATGCAAAGCGTCACGTCTGGAGGAAACCTGGCACCAGCCCTACAGTGAAGCATGGTGGTGGCAGCATCATGCTGTGGGGATGTATTTCAGAGGCAGGGAGTGGGACACTAATCAGGATCGAGGGAAAGATGAACAGAGCAAAGTACAGAGAGATCCTTGAAAACCTGCTCAGGAACCCAGACTGGGGTGAAGGTTCACCTTCCAACAGGACAACAACCCTAAGCACACAGCCAAGACAACGTAGGAGTGGCTTCGGGACAAGTCTCTAAATGTCCTTGAGTGGCCCAGCCAGAGCCCGGACTTGAACCCGATCTAACATCCCTGGAGAGACCAGACAATAGCTGTAAAGCGACGCTCCCCATCCAACCTGACAAAGCTTGAGAGGATCTGTAGAGAAGAATGGGAGAAACTCCACAAATACAGGTGTACCAAGCTTGTAGCGTCATACCCAAGAAGACTCCAGGCTGTAATCACTGCCAAAGGTGCTTCAACAAAGTAATGAGTAAAGGGTTCAAAACCTTATGTAAATGTGACATTTCAGTATAAACCTGTTTTTTGCTTTGTCATTATGGGGTATTGTATGTAGATTGATGAGAAAAAACAAGGCTGTAACGTAACAAAATGTGAAAAAAGTCAAGGGGTCTACATACTTTCCAAATGCATTGTATGTATGTATGTATGTATGTATATATGTACAGTGGGGAGAACAAGTATTTGATACACTGCCGATTTTGCAGGTTTTCCTACTTACAAAGCATGTAGAGGTCTGTACTTTTTATCATAGGTACACTTCAACTGTGAGAGACGGAATCTAAAACAAAAATCCAGAAAATCACATTGTATGATTTTTAAGTAATTAATTTGCATTTTATTGCATGACATAAGTATTTGATCACCTACCAACCAGTAAGAAATCCGGCTCTCACAGACCTGTTAGTTTTTCTTTAAGAAGCCCTCCTGCTCTCCACCCATAACCTGTATTAACTGCACCTGTTTGAACTCGTTACCTGTATAAAAGACACCTGTCCACACACTCAATCAAACAGACTCCAACCTCTCCACAATGGCCAAGACCAGAGCGCTGTGTAAGGACATCAGGGTTAAAATTGTAGACATGCACAAGGCTGGGATGGGCTACAGGACAATAGGCAAGCAGCTTGGTGAGAAGGCAACAACTGTTGGCGCAATTATTAGAAAATGGAAGAAGTTCAAGATGACGGTCAATCACCCTCGGTCTGGGGCTCCATGCAAGATCTCACCTCGTGGGGCATCAATGATCATGAGGAAGGTGAGGGATCAGCCCAGAACTACACGGCAGGACCTGGTCAATGACCTGAAGAGAGCTGGGACCACAGTCTCAAAGAAAACCATTAGTAACACACTACGCCGTCATGGATTAAAATCCTGCAGCGCACGCAAGGTCCCCCTGCTCAAGCCAGCGCATGTCCAGGCCCGTCTGAAGTTTGCCAATGACCATCTGGATGATCCAGAGGAGGAATGGGAGAAGGTCATGTGGTCTGATGAGACAAAAATAGAGCTTTTTGGTCTAAACTCCACTCGCCGTGTTTGGAGGAAGAAGAAGGATGAGTACAACCCCAAGAACACCATCCCAACTGTGAAGCATGGAGGTGGAAACATCATTCTTTGGGGATGCTTTTCTGCAAAGGGGACAGGACGACTGCACCGTATTGAGGGGAGGATGGATGGGGCCATGTATCGCGAGATCTTGGCCAACAACCTCCTTCCCTCAGTAAGACCATTGAAGATGGGTCGTGGCTGGGTCTTCCAGCATGACAACGACCCGAAACACACAGCCAGGGCAACTGGGAGTGGCTCCGTAAGAAGCATCTCAAGGTCCTAGAGTGGCCTAGCCAGTCTCCAGACCTGAACCCAATAGAAAATCTTTGGAGGGAGCTGAAAGTCCGTATTGCCCAGCGACAGCCCCGAAACCTGAAGGATCTGGAGAAGGTCTGTATGGAGGAGTGGGCCAAAATCTCTGCTGCAGTGTGTGAAAACCTGGTCAAGACCTACAGGAAACGTATGATCTCTGTAATTGCAAACAAAGGTTTCTGTACCAAATATTAAGTTCTGCTTTTCTGATGTATCAAATACTTATGTCATGCAATAAAATGCAAATTAATTCCTTAAAAATCATACAATGTGATTTTCTGGATTTTTAGATTCCGTCTCTCACAGTTGAAGTGTACCTATGATAAAAATTACAGACCTCTACATGCTTTGTAAGTAGGAAAACCTGCAAAATCGGCAGTGTATCAAATACTTGTTCTCCCCACTGTATATATATATATATATAATAATAATAATAATAATAATAATAATAATAATAATAAGCAACGAACACAATTGCATTTTATTGATGGCAATTTGAATGCACAGAGCTACCGTGACGAGATACTGAGGTCCATTGTGGTGCCATTCATCCGCCGCCATCACCAGCATGATAATGCACAGCCCCATGTCGTGCATATCGATCCAGAGCATCCCAAACATGCTCAATGGGTGACATGTCTGTGTATGCAGGCGACCTGTGTAATGATCATGCTGTTTAATCAGTTTCTTGATATGCCGCACCTGTTAGGTGGATGGATTATCTTGGCAAAGGAGAAATGCTAACAGGGATGTAAACAAATTTGTACACAACATTTTAGAGAAATACGTTTTTTGTGCGTATGGACAATTTCTGGGATCTTTTATTTCAACTCATGAAACATGGGACCAACACTTTACATGTTGCGTTTTATGTTTTTGTTCAGTGTATATACTGTATTATGTCTCTTCTAAACTGTATATTCTCCCCAGGTGATGAGGTTCAGGTCAGAGACAGTAGCAGCCTTCATCGCTGTGGTGGGCATCCTCGCCATCGTGGCTCAGGTTGGTGACCTTTGACACTTGTTGTACAGTTTTCTTTGACTTAGGTTGTGATGTCTTTTCGGAAGTCAGAGAGTTGACATATCTGTAATAAATAAATAATTGATTGATTGATTACCTGCTGTGTTCTCTGTGTCAGACGGTGGTTCTCGGGATCATGATGCGCTCCATAGTGAATAAGAACATCATCCTACTGGGCCTGGGCTTCCAGATACTACAGCTGGCCTGGTACGGCTTCGGATCACAACCATGGTCAGTACCAACTACCTTTTAATGTACTGTCCCTATCACTAACCTTGACCCAGGCCTCACCCTTACCCTAACATACTGGTCACAATAACAGTGAGCAGACATTGCTTTCTTTTCTTCTAATCAACTCTAAATTAAATGGGAATACAATTTCCATGAGTTGACAAAGTATATCGTCGCATTAAACAGCGCTATCCTGTCAGGCCCTTAGAGGGCAGCAAAACACCAACAACAATACAGTTCACTGACCAGAGCAATGTATCTAGTTTATACCAATGATCCACAGCACTGAACAGGTCACACTGCGAGGATCCTTTATCATGGGGTCAGCAGAGGACAGTTAATTTATAATATGCCATTTAGCAGACGCTTTTATCCAAAGCGACTTACAGTCATGCGTGCATAATTTTTTTGGTGTATGGGTGGTCCCGGGGATCGAACCCACTACCTTGGCGTTACAAGCGCCGTGCTCTACCAGCTGAGCTACAGAGGACTTTATTGTTCAGGCTTTAACACTAATGTACTGTTAGTGGTTTGACCCAGGGGACTGAGAGGACAGGGGAGAGAAAGTAGTCCTGATGCACTGTATGTTGTCTTATGACGGTTACTGTTGTTAGTGTTGACTCTGATAGATGCATTGAAGAGAGGTTGAATACAGGCCAGATTAGTCCTGTCTCTGTGATATCGGTCTGTGAGGAGGATTTCCGTGTTTCCGCCTCCTGACTATATGACCTTTCAGTGTACTGTGTGTGTACACTCTGATCTGTTGCCTGCTGCTTCCTCTCTGGAGTTGGAAAATGCTTTGTTAAAGAATTACCTCAAATCAAAATCTAGCATCACCTTCTCAGCTATTAGTGCCATCGTGTCTCGCAACACAGACCCAGTACAGCAGGGTTAGCTACTACTACCACACACCAATATAAGAATATTCCCTAATCAGAAATTGACCCCCTCTTTTTCAGATCTGAAATTGTAGTCTAGATAATGTAGAATGCTTAGTCTAGGCTACTTGCTCTAAAGATTTCAACCCACAATGGTGAGCTTATAAATGATTTCTGAAGCATTTATGTAGTCGTTATGAAGGCGTTATAAATGTCCTATAAAGCCTTTGGGTCTATTGCAACCATCGATGGCCACCAGATTATCGCCAGCAGATCTCTCATTAAACCGTCAATATGAGCTAAATTCACCCGCACAGCTTATCTCAATTGCGATCCTTATTGGTCACCTCATTACCGCTCTCTGTTACCTTAGTCCTGCTTGCTACTGTACCAAGTCTTTCAAAGCATGTTCGCCCTCTGGTGGGTTTTATCATCGGAACAACTTAATCCTACTTATTGAGCAGACTAAGGGCGATTTATCTATTTGATAATCATTCCATATAACTGAACTAAAGTAGGCCGATATCCTGGTTTAATGTGGCAATTTACCCGACACGTTGTATGAATGGAAAACTAATGTTGATCTAGCCTACTGTTATTATTTTATTTGTTTCCAATTTATATAATCCATTAAATACACCTGTCTTTAAAATACAATTGTCTGGTATATCCCTTGACTGTCCATATTTGAAATGTGTAAATACATCAAGTCAATCGTGATTAAGTTAAACCTATATAATCTATATTTTTTTATGAAATGAAATGTAGGCAACATTTTTTAAAGTCATTCTATGGTTTCATCTTCTGTCTGTTGCACGTGGAGCTGACTGATCTGGACGCAGTAGACAGCCCTGGGAAAGAACCCAAACCCAACATGGCCAACCACACGGACGAGGTGAGACCAGTGACGACAGGACTAAGATAGATAACTGTCTTTTGAGAGAGACACACACACACATACACAACCCTGATTCACACAATAGGACCAAGCCAAGTTGAGCGGTACTGGGCTGGCCTGGTTATCTATCCATCATAGATGCTGGATGCTAGAAAGGATCATGTCAAAATAAAGTTTCTGAGCCAGTACAGATCAGGTCAGCCCTGTAGTGTGGATAAGGCAACACACTCACACATTTACTAACAATCACATATGTATTCTCTCTCTCCCTCCACAGAGTTCCATCATCCCCGGCCCTCCCTTCCTGTTTGGGGCGTGCTCCGTACTACTCTCCCTGTTAGTAGCCTGGGGGTCTGACCGGGAGGCTACAAGAAACACAGCAACGTAGCCCAGAGCCACTCCCACAGCCCTCCCAGTAGCGGGGCAGAGGGCAAGGAGCCACTACTGGACGACAGATAAGAGAGTGGCTTCTTCTAAGAGCCAAGAAGATGTGTGTGTGTCGGAAGCACCTTGTGGGCTGTCCTCTGAAGTCTGAACACCTGAGTTCAAACAGTGTTGTGTATGGAGTTCCCAAAGGCCCTGAGAGAGGGATGGAGGGAAGAGAGAGAGAGGATGGGTAGTGCTGTGGAGAGGTGTGTGTGGTGTTGGGAGAGACTTGGTTGAGCTGATCTCTGTCCTGAGTGAGTCCTGAGAAGCAGTAACAGGAAGAGGATAAAGGAGGATATGATGTACAGGCTTGGCTTGTACTGCCAGAGAGCTACTAGGGCTCTGGTCAAAAGAAGTGCACTATATAGGGAATATGGTGCCATTTTGGATACAACCGATGACTCTATTTCCTCTGTAGCCAAGAAGATCAATATGTGACAACAACCACAGTGTTCTTTGTCTAAAGAGAGTAAGTCAACAACGGTAACAGTAGCCACAGCTCGAGCTCTACTCTAATGGCCAATTTACAAGCTAACAAACTTCTGTTGTGACTTGTCAGATTTTATGTTTTAATGCGTAAGAACGGAAAGCAGGTCTGCCTCTGTGTGTGTCTACAGCTGGGAGGGAAGCTACTGGATGCGTCCCAAATGGCACCCTATTCCCTTTATAGTGCACTGCCTTTGACCAAATGTAGTGCACTATAAAGGAAATAGGGCGCCATTTGGGACACAATCAATGTAGAACATGAGTAGAGTGGAACTTCTTTAGATCCATCTAAGAGGCACTACCTATTCTTTTGCGTTTTTATAGAAGGACACTTACTTTCCTGAGAGAAGTGTGTATGAGAGAGACCGCTTTATTAGTTGGAAATACGTTTTTCAATGTTTACCTATCTGCCATACATTAGAGTAGCAGCCGACAGACAGATGTACGGTTTTGGGTTGTATATTATTCCTGTGTTCACACACTTAAGGCTAGTTATGCTTCAAGTTTTTATTCCAGAGAAATGTTGACTTGAAGGGATGTTGTCTTCATATTAACATATTACAACAACCTGTATGTCTGACGTGGGTCTGTAATTGTTGCTATCGCTCCTATTGGAGGCTTTCAGTCATTTTAGTCTTGTTTTCTTCTTGTCTTTTTCTCACAACCCTCTTCTATGTGAATCTAGACACTAACTTAGTTAACACAAAGACTGGCAGGACTGTAGTTTAGTTAACAACTTGCCCATAGACTGCTTCTAGATATGTATTCACAAAGCATCTCAGAGTAGGAGAGCTGATCTAGGATCTGTTTTGACTTAGAGTATATAATAAATAACAGTACAGTATATGGACCTAATCCTAGATCAATACTCCTACTATGAATCGTTTTATGAATATGGGCACTGATCTGTAATGTGGGAATCAATGTGAGCACTGAGATTTCCAACAGTCTTGGAATAATATCATTAGGTGTTCAGTAAGTTAAAATATCACTTGAACTGCTGCGGTAGGACAGTAAAGGTTAAATGTTATGTGGTATTAGAGATAATATTGCAAATGTGGTATTTTGGATTTAGACTGTAAAACAAGTTAAAGGAATCTTAGGACATTTTAGCTCCCCGTGTCCGTCCGTCCGTCTTTGATTCTAAAGGTGTTGCAGATACCACTATAAATCTTTGCTGTTGTACTTTTGAAACAATCAATTTTTTTGTAAATGATACTCGTGCATTGAAATAACCAAATCACAAATGGAAATAGAACCGGTTGGTGTGAAAACGCTGGACATTTTATCAGAATTTACATTTTGTCCAAATCATTTTTTATTTTTTTATTTTTTTTTGTGCCATATTTGATGATTGTTTGTGACTACTTTAACTCTGGTTTTCTTATTGTTTGTTTATCCTTTTGTCTTAATTTTTTGGCTAAACGTTTAAGTGCTATTTGTAATAGCTTTTAACACTTGAACATTCCAATGTTGTTTTTTATTTGTGGATTTCTTCAACATTACATTTTGGGGATTTATTGAATGTTCAGCCTTGCATTTAAAAACACATTTCTCAATTTAATAACAAGCTGTAAAAATGTTTTTACTGAATTGTATAAATGACATCATAAGCATCATTGAATGTTCTGAGCTATACATGTTGTCGTTATGCCAACCAAACAAACTTGTTCATAATTTCAGCTGGGTTAGCATTAACCCTGGTCAAAAGCCTTATGGGCCCTGGTCAAAATAAGTGAACTACATAGGGAATAGGGTGACATTTGAGAGACAGACCAAATGTCTCTCAGAATCTATATGTATTTAAGTCAATGCTCAGAATATATCGGATCAACACATATTGGACCAATAACACACAAGGACAGTAAACCCAATGACTAAGATCCTACATTAATTCAAACGATTCTTCACCAGCCCTAACACACAATACATTTACATTTCAAACACACAGGTGTTTCAGTAAATGCACAAACATTATTGTACTTACAATACGTGTGTATGTTAACTTGAAGGATATGGCATCATATACAGGTAAAAGTCAGTAAATTAGAATATTTTGAAAAACTTGATTTATTTCAGTAATTGCATTCAAAAGGTGTAACTTGTACATTATATTTATTCATTGCACACAGACTGATGCATTCAAATGTTTATTTCATTTAATTTTGATGATTTGAAGTGGCAACAAATGAAAATCCAAAATTCCGTGTGTCACAAAATTAGAATATTGTGTAAGGGTTACATTTTGAAGACACCTGGTGCCACAAAATAATCAGCTGATTAACTCAAAACACCTGCAAAGGGCTTTAAATGGTCTCTCAGTCCAGTTCTGAAGCCTACACAAACATGGGGAAGACTTCAGATTTGACAGCTGTCCAAAAGGCGACCATCGACACATTGCACAAGGAGGGAAAGACACAAAAGGTTATTGCAGAAGAGGCTGGCTGTTCTCAGAGCTCTGTGTCCAAACACATTAATAGAGAGGCAAAGGGAAGGAAAAACTGTGGTCAGAAAAAGTGTACAAGCGATAGGGCTCACCGCGCCCTAGTCAAGATTGTGAAAAAAAAAACATTCAAAAATGTGGGGGAGATTCACAAGGAGTGGACAGCTGCTGGAGTCAGGGCTTCAAGATCCACCACCAAGAGACGCTTGAAAGACATGGGTTTCAACTGCCGCATACCTCGTGTCAAGCCACTGTTGACCAAGAAACAGCGCGAAAAGCGTCTCACCTGGGCTAAGGAAAAAAAGAGCTGGACTGCTGCTGAGTGGTCTAAAGTCATGTTTTCTGACGAAAGCAAATTTTGCATTTCCTTTGGAAATCGAGGTCCCAGAGTCTGGAGGAAGACAGGAGAGGCACAGGATCCACGTTGCCTGAAGTCTAGTGTAAAGTTTCCACCATCAGTGATGGTTTGGGGTGCCATGTCATCTGCTGGTGTCGGTCCACTCTGTTTCCTGAGATCAAGGGTCAACGCAGCCGTCTACCAGCAAGTTTTAGAGCACTTCATGCTTCCTGCTGCTGACCTGCTCTATGGAGATGGAGATTTCAGGTTCCAACAGGACTTGGCGCCTGCACACAGCGCAAAATCTACCCGTGCCTGGTTTACGGACCATGGTATTTCTGTTCTAAATTGGCCAGCCAACTCCCCTGACCTTAGCCCCATAGAAAATCTGTGGGGTATTGTGAAAAGGAAGATGCAGAATGCCAGACCCAACAACGCAGAAGAGTTGAAGGCCACTATCAGAGCAACCTGGGCTCTCATAACACCTGAGCAGTGCCAGAAACTCATCGACTCCATGCCACGCCGCATTAATGCAGTAATTGAGGCAAAAGGAGCTCCAACCAAGTATTGAGTATTGTACATGGTCATATTTTTCATTTTCATACTTTTCAGTTGGCCAACATTTCTAAAAAATCCCTTTTTTGTATTAGCCTTAAGTAATATTCTAATTTTGTGACACACGGAATTTTGGATTTTCATTTGTTGCCACTTCAAATCATCAAAATTAAATGAAATAAACATTTGAATGCATCAGTCTGTGTGCAATGAATAAATATAATGTACAAGTTACACCTTTTGAATGCAATTACTGAAATAAATCAAGTTTTTCAAAATATTCTAATTTACTGACTTTTACCTGTAGGTCTGATTGCCACAGTAGTATGTTGCAGCAACATTTCTTAGACCGACCCTGGTTTTTCGGACCACTCCTGTTTTGTAGTCCCATATGGTTTGTGGTTTGTGGCCTGAGCTGAGCCTCCTCTCTGTGTGCCTACTGTTAGCCAAGAAATTACCAGACCAGGCCAACATGAGTGGAAATGGTGGATAATATCATTTTAATATGTGAAACTAATGTCAAACTATTTATTTAAAGGTTTATGGTACATCAAGCTGTGTGACTTTCTCTTGCAACATACAGTAGGCTACATGTACAAACATGTACTGGAAATGGGGTCGTGTTCATTAGTGCACACCATAGCAAAACGTTTTGCAATGGGAAATAAAAATGAACATTTCTTATTGGGCAAGTTCAGTTCGTACCTCCCCACTGCACTCTGTTTCAGGTTGTTTTCTTCCATGTCATGCCTACTGAACACGACTCAGGCTCCAGCAGTAAGTGCCTGTTTAAAACCTCTCGGATCTCTCCCTCAGAACCTGCGCAAACACTGAACATTCTGTTCTGTTGTTCATTTCCTTTCATTTATATTATTGTGTTAGATCCTCTGTGTGTGTTTAACTGTGAAACATGAGGACGTTCTAGTTTTTAATCAGAAGCAACACCTCCCTCCCACTACAAGGTTATTTTGAAGCCACTGATAGGACCCTTTTCCTGTAAGAAGTTAGTACACATACTGATAGGACCTTTTCTCTAAGCCAACACTGAAAATTACAGTTTTAAACAAAGATTACTATATTACCTAAATTAAAACCATTGATTTTAGCCTGTTAATTCAGAACTGTCTATAATAAACAAGCAAAAGAGGAAAGAGCACACCCTAAAGCAAACACACACAGTATTGTCGTAAATACAATGTAATTGGTTTCCTG